GCCGGGGCCTCGGTGCTCCACGCGGCCGAGCAGCAGCCGTTCTCCCTGGGCCGCCGGGGCGGGGCCGTGACCGCGCCGTGGCTGTCACCTCCCGGGCCGCGCATCGCCTCCAGCTGCCGCTCCAGCTCGCGCACCACCAGGCGCAGGTAGTGGAAGCTGGCCCGCGACAGCGCCTTCACCCAGGCCTCCAGCGCCGCCTGGCTCTCGGCCGCCAGCGCGTAGCAGCGCGCGTGCGCCCCCGTGAAGCGCACGGCGAAGGCGAACTCCTCGGCCGCCTCCACCAGCTCCACCGTGCAGCCCTCCAGCACGATGACGCCCAGCGGCTCGCGGCTGGCCGGGCCCTCGAAGTAGAAGAGCATGTTGCCGCGCAGCACAAACCAGCGGCGGTGCGAGGCCGCGTGCCGCCCTCCCTTCTTGTGCAGGAAGCCCGCATGGTCCACTGGCGCGTCGCAGGTCGCGTAGAAAGCCAGGCTGCGCTCGTTCAGCTTCATAGTGACCGGGCCTGTCCCCACCCATGAACAGCAAGTTATTGACCTGACCATATCAGCTCTCAACAGCCCATTTCACAGGGGAAGAAACTGAGGCTCAGAGGGGAGGTAGCACGTGGAGCTCACACTACTCCTAAGAAGCAGAAAAAGGTGCTGGGTGAGAAAAAGGTGATGGTCGCTAGTAATCCCAGAATTCAGGAGGCTGAAGCAGGAGGGTCACCAGATCAAGCCTCGGCTACACCCTGAGGTGGAGACCAGCCTGAACTACAATAGTGAGATCCTTTCTTAAACAAAGTACGCTGCCTGATTCTGCCTGGCCCCAGAAGCAACTTTGTAGCCCACTCCTGGCCTGAGTCCCCCACCAAAATAATGTGCAGAGTTCCTACTGCAGGCCAGATACTTAACGCATATAAACTCAGTCTCACAGCAAACCATAGTTGGCAGGAAACTGCCCTTACTCCAACTGGACAGATAGGGAAACACACTCAGAGCCGTAAGTCCCAAAGCACTGTGGGCAGGCCTTTCAACCCCCAGGCCTCATTACAGGCAGCTGATTTCTACCGCCCAAGGGGCCAGGGCCGAGCTCTGCTCTCTTGACTGAGGCCAGGTTTCTCCATCTTAAAACAGGGATATGAAGAGAATCTGCTCCAGAGCTGCAGGAACTTCCTATCAGACGCTAAGTGCCTGTCATGCGTCACAGCTGCTCAGACACCCAGCTGTAAGCCAGATGGCCAGGGTTCACCCTCCTAGTGAGGAAGCTAGCACAGCTGAAAGGAGTGTGTAACAGACTCAGGAGGAGAAGGAGGCAGCCCAGAACATCCAGACGAACAACGTGAGACAGCAGGAATGGCGTGTGCAAAGGCCCTGTGGCAGGAACCTGGAGGCCAATTGAGCCAAGCTAGAGTATGGAAGATGGAGACAGGAGCGCAGCTATGAAGCAAAACTGTTTGCAAATCATCTGGAGCTACACATGGGCCCTGGACTTGCAGACAGAAAGCTGGGAGTGTTGTGCGTCTGTTCAACAGGAAGGCCTCTCTGCAAGTGTGTGGCCACCCTGGTGTCATCCACCTTCCTGCACGTGCCTGTCCCCAAGTGTCCCATGGCCACACAGAGGACCTGTGAAGAGTGACAGCTACAGTTCCCAAGAGCTGAAGCAAGTAAGGTCTCCGGAGTGAAGTGGATGCTCAATGAACATTCACTCCCCTTTCCTGGGTGGTGCCTTAGTTGGGGCCAGGAGGAATGAGGTCAGGGTGGTGGCTCTCCTGGGAGCATGAGTGAGGCCAGCCAGGCCAGCTGACCCAGGGCGGAGGGCCACCTGTCACGTTGTGCCACCCACCTGGGCAGTCAACAAAGGCATCCTAGCAGAGGTGATGTGAGTCGTGGCCGAGATCAACTTGTCCCAGCCTAGAAGCTGGGCTGTGGCCTGCTACCCTGAAGGCTCAAGCGCCTCCATCCTTGAGCTGTGTAACTTCCACAAGAAGCTGTCCCTCTCTGAGCCACAGTTTCTTCCTGAAAAAATGGGACCCATGGATTACCTCTCCCCCAGATGACACCCTCATGGACACCAACCCCATTTCTCCCAGGCATCTCCTACCCTACATGCCCATTTCCTTCCTACCTTGCAGGCTGCCTTCTACCAGCTCTGGCTATACTCTGTTCAAGGGGTGGCCCTGCAGTCTCCAGGCTGGATTGCCCTGGGCAAGCTGCTGGCCTCTCTGGGCCTCTGATTCCACAGCTGTAGAAGGGAACTGTGACAGCATCTGATCAAGGTATGTGGCCTCTGAGGAGGCAGCTATGAATGTCTAAATGCTCCCTGTAGTGCATCCTGCCTTGCATCTCTTTATTGCAAATGGCCTTCAGTGTCCCTGTGACCCCCCCAAATCCAACCACTAGAGCCAGGTGACTCCAGTGTCCCTTACCACCTTGGCTCCAGCCACCCCAGCCTCCAGGGGATACGCCAGGCATGCGCCCACCTCAGGGCCTTCTCCCTGCTGTCATGCCCTGTGTGGCCAAGTCTTTGTCTGTCCTTGTTTCAACCCAACTGTCATTCCTCAGGGAGGCAGCTCCCAACTGTGTATCAGGGAGTGCCTGCCACCCTCCTGTGCCCCCACCCAAGATTACCAGTGTCATTTCCACTGCCGCAAGAGGGTGGGGGTCCCCTCTGAGCCCCAGAGGCTGCCAGGTGGGAGGTGCCGCACAAATACCTGTAGGAAGAATCAAGCATTTCCCCCTCAGTGCCCGAGTACTTGGCTAAGAATATGGCCAAGTAAACAGGCCTATAGGGACTAATCTTGGGGTCTCCCCACCCCATTAGACCAAGGAGGAGCAACTTTCCTAGGGCCCGGAAGCCCTCCTCCGGCTGCCCTGGTAGGGCCCAGCCTGGTCCAAGGTTAGCAGCCAACACCAGACCTGGCTCTGCTGTGGTCCTTACCTCCTCCAGGCAGGCAAGAAGGGGAGGGCAGGGAGCCGCAGAGCCCAGGCCTGCGCCGCCTGCACAGAGTGCCCAGTCCCGGCCTGCCTTATCTCCTGGCACTGCTTTCCAGCAAGTTCAGAGTCCACTGGTGCTGCTACTGCTGCGCTGCTGCTGTCCTCGCACAGAGTGCAGCCACGGCTGCAGGAAATGAACGGCCCCCCAGCCAGTTCTGCACCCTGGACCAAGTTCCTGCCTCAGTAGCTGGGCCTGGAGGACCTTGGACAAGTCACTTCACCTTCCTTAGCCTCAGTTTCCCTGTCTGCTGTGAAGAGGATTTTCAACAAGCTAAAATAAGGACATCTCACACACAGGCCAACAAGGGAAAAGGGAAAAGGCACTGAAAATTATTGAGTGGAGGTTTTTCCAACTGCATCTACACAGAGAACGGTGGACATCCATTCCCCTTGGGAAGGTTGACTCAGTCGTTCTGCAAACTGCCTGACAGATGTGGGGCATTCAGGAAAGGAGTTGTAGGAAAGGCACGTCCTTAGACCCGGGCAGCCCCAGATCGAGGGGAAACCGAGGCATGGCATTTTGCCACTTAGTCCATGGAAGGAAGCCAACACCACAAGCCCTGGGGATGAATCCAGCTGTCCTGAGTGTCCCCGGACAGTGGGCGTGGGAGAGGGTGTGATAGGCATGGGCTGGAAAACATGTGCCCAGCACCCCAAGAGCTGCCCTCCAGTTCTGCCCCGCAGGGGCCCCAAGGACGCCAGCACCGATTTCTGGGTCTGAAGGTAGCCCCTCCGTAGCGGCTGTAATGCAGGCGTGGCTGCCGCCGTTCCCTTTGTGCCTCCTGTGGGAGCCTTCTGAGCGCCCACGGGGATCAAGGCAGGATGGGGTGCCAACTGGAGGGCACATCCGGGGAGTCCCTTTAGGGTGAGGAGAATGTCCCCCGGCCAGGGTATCCAGTCAGCTAGGGAATGCAGGTTCCCAGCAGCGCGACCTGCAGACGGCTGGCGATCACCACGGCCCTCGCTGGCCCGACCCCTGCCGGTGTCTCCCGCTCGGCCGGCCTTACCTCGCGCGCTGGCCTAGGGCGGTGGCCGAATGAGAGGCGTGGGGCCGAGGGTCGGCCCGGCCATGGCCCGCAAACCGCTCGGGAGCAGCGGCGCTTTGTCTCCGGGACTGCCCGGCTGACGCAGCCGCCGGAGAGCGCTTCTGGATGCAAGCAGGCGGGGCGGCCGGACAGCCCGCGACCCTAGGGCGCGCCCCTTTAACCCTTCCCAGCCAGCCCCACAGGACCCGCCCCCGCGTGCTTCTCTCCCTCCGATTGGCCAGCTCCGACTCGGCACGCCCTCTGTGCGCCAGCCCCAGAAACCACTGTTAAAGGGACCGCGACTGGCTCTGGCGTCCCCAAGGATCTGTTCCAGAAAGCGAGACCATCTAAGCCCGGATAACTCAATGCTGGATAACTCTAGAGTGCCGATTGGCCTGGAAAAAGCACTGGGGTCCTAGGGGAGGCCACACGCTACAGTCGTAGGCGTAGAATCAGACCTTGTCCCTGGCTAGGGTTGCCAGATTTAGCCAATGTAACAATTCCCAGCTCCATTTGAAAAATAATCCTAGTTCCCGGAAATTTGTGACTTGTTGAAATAAAACTGACCACAGGACAGACGTATGAGACTACGCTAAATGCACAAGATGCCTGGCCGTCCAACCCCATGCCCCCAAGAGGAGATCCCGAAATGGTCAGAGGTCCAGACCCACGAGGCTTCTGAACCCCCCTTAGAGACACACTTCTGAAGCTTCCTCTGCCTCCTGCAAAGCGAAGATAAGCATAGTATATAAACTGGGTGTCAGCAGATCTTATCAGTAACTAGGAATTGCTTCAGGCATGGTTGCTGTTTGAATTCACCGCAGCCCAAGAGCCCAAGACCTTCGCACTGAGCCACTGAGCTGCATCTCCAGCCTGTCTCTCTCTCTCTCTCTCTCTCTCTCTCTCTCTCTCTTTCTTTTCTTTTCTTTTTTTTTTTTTTCTTCACAGAGCCTGCTAAATTGCCCAGGTTGGGCTCAAGCTTGTGATCCTCCTGCCTCAGCCTCCTCGAATACCGGAACCACAGGTCTACACCACTATGCTTGACTTCGGGTGTGGATTTCCTAGCCCTACCGAGATTCCCACTGCTTCTGCCCTAAACCTAGGGCTCTTACACACTCCACCATGCAGACAGCAACAAAAGCCCCAGCCCCTGCAAGACAAGGGCCTGGAGCCTCTGATCCTTGGGCAGGAAGAAATGAGCCAGGGACTCTGGGGTGTGTAATCCTGGGGAAGTCCCTTCCTGCCTAGGGCTTACTCTGCTTGGGGAGACCGGCCAGTCTGGTTTTGTTGTTGTCGTTCTTATAGTGAGATAGAAACCCCTGTTTCCTTATTTCTGATTTTGAGACAGGATCTTCCAGGCTCAAATTTGTGATCTTCCTGCCTCAGCCTCCCAGAGTGTGCCCCAGAATGGTAGTTACTAACTTCACATGAAGAATCTGCAGGGTCCCACCACAAGATCTTTCAAAGCCGTCGTGTCCCCACCCTTGGCAATGGTGATTGGTCCAGGGGCAGACATATGGCCCAGGCCAGCCAATGGTACTCACCCTGTCTCGGTGGGGGTGGAGCCAGCAGAGAGCACAGCCAGCCAGAAGAAAGGGTTGAAGAGCCGCTGGATCCCTCTGTACCTGCAGCCACCTCTTCCCCTGAGCAGGAAAGGCAAGGTGACGTTGCCCCGCTGAGGAACGAGCAGCACAGTACACAAGCACACGGTGTCACGGGCCTTGCTACAGGGAAGAATCCCCCAAGTCTGTGCGTCTGGGTTCTGGGAGCCAGAGAGCCCAAGCCCCAGAAGATGAAGGAGGCAGAAATCAGCGTGAATATGGCACCTTTGGAGAGGGAGCGTCCTTATTCATTTATTAAAACTGAAAATGTACATAACAACACTGAAAATGTAAATAACAAAAATTAACCGGTGAAGGCCAGCTCAGCAGACTAAGTGCCTGCTTACGTAAGCGCCGGGGCCGGGGTTTGATCCCTGGAACCACATGCCGCGCCGGCCCAGCCCCTGGGCACGCTGAGCCGGCCACCGCAGAGTCTGAACAGCTGTAATCCCAGTGCTGGGGAGGCTGAAAATAGGAGGATCACTGTGAGTCCAAGCTGTGTAGTGAGACCCTGTGCCAAATACATCAAATAATAATAATAATAACGACAAAATAAAAATCAACTGGTGAAAGCAGTCATTCAGTACATTCGGTGGCATTCAGTACATCTATAGTGTTATGACAAGCATACTCTTATAGTCCCTCGGGCTCAAGAGGCTGAGGCAGGAAGATCACAAGGTTGAAGCTAGCCTGAGCTGCATAGCAAGAGCTTGGTTTTTTTTGTTTTGTTTTGCTTTTGTCCTTTGGGGACAGGGTCTCGCTATACAGTTCAGGCTGTCCTTGAGCTCACTTTGTAGCCCAGAATGGTCTCAAACTCCCAGTGATCTTCCTGCCTCAGCCTCCGGAGTGCTGGGATTAGAGCCATGCACCACCAAGCTGGCTAAGATCTTGTCTTTACGATTTAAAAAATAAAAAAGGACTGGGCATATAGGTCAGTGGTAAAGAGTCCCTGGGTTAAAGCCCAATAGTGGAATAAAAATAAATAAATATCACTTCTGTCTAGTTCCCAAATGTGGGGGGGGGGGGTTGAGGGGATTAAGACAGCGTATCACTGTGTCATCCAGGCTGGACTTGAACTCTCTGTGTAGCCAAGGATGGGCTGGAACCTGTGGTGATCCTCCTGCCTCAGCCTCCCAAGTCCTGAGATTATAGGCATCTAACACCGTGTAGATGTTTCATGTAGTTCAAAGACGCTTTTATCACCTCAGAAGGAGATGCTGTACCCTTAAGCAGCCCCTTCCAGTTCCCTCTTGTCCCTAGCCCTGGGAACCACAAGGCTATTTTCTGTCTTTGGGTCTGCCCTTTCTGGATATTTCTGGTAAGTGGAACCAAATGCATGGTCCCATGTGCCTACTGTCTTCTACTCCCTCATATACCGGGGCCCATCCACGCTGTCACCTGTGTCAGGCCTTCTGTCCTCCTCCTGGCTTTGTCCAGACAGACTGCATTCTGTTTGTCCAGCCAGCAACCAGCTGGTGAAAGCAGTCATTCATCAACCAGCCCCTAGACCTGGGGCTATCCCCACCTTTTGACTACCGGGCCTCACCGGGCGTCTTTGTGGCTGGGGACCCGAGAGGTGTGGGGGAAAGACAGTGAGTCAGAGAACGGAAAGGGGAACTTGAGGACCAGAGCTGGGCTGTGGCCACTGTCACCAACTCCTGATGGTTTTACCTCCAAACCACATCTGGAATCCACCACTTCTCCATCTCTGCCTTACTTCCTCATCCCAGGCCACCATTGTCTACTTGCTAGGTCAGCAGCAAATTGTCCTTTTAGGTTCCTTCTGCCACTCAGACACCCCAGCCCTGCGTCTATTCTCTGTGGAGTGGTCTGAAAGCTCCTCTTCAGACATCTGGGACATCAGTGACAGCTGCACCCCTGCTCAAAGCCTTGCCTTCCCTCCCCACTGCCCGAGGACTGGTCTAGGCTCCAGACACCTTCAAGCCTTTGTCCACTCCGCACTGGCCGCCTGCCTCCCTGCCATTCCCAGAATGCACTGCGGACCTTTCCGTGTCTGAGAGCTTCTGCGACCATTTCTTCCTGCACCTCCCCTTCCCTGGTGTCACTCTCACCCAATAAAGCCTGCATTCAGCATCACCTCTTCCGGGAAGGCCAGGAACCCCACTACCACCACCACCACCACCACTCGTCTCCTCGGTCCATCAGTATTTAGTGAGCACCACTTTGTCCAGCACTTAGGGATCCAGGCTGGGAAGACAGTCCCATGCACAGTCACTGTTCTCCAGGAGTAAAAAGTACTTAAAGGGAAGAGGTTTTGGTGCTACATCTAGATTCAAATCCCAGCTCCCAATCTGAGCAGCTGTGTGACCTGGGGCAGTCCCTTCACCTCTCTGAGCCTCAGTTTCTCATCTGGAAAATGAAGGCGGGAAGGTTTGTGGAAGGAGTTAGCACTTCCAGTCCCTTCCTCTTTTGTCATTCTCCGTTTAGGGATTCCCCATCTCATATCTGTCCTACTCGCTTGTCTTCAGCCATAATAGTCTCAAACAGAACCGTTGCAATCTGGTGTCAGATATCAGATGCCAGAGGAGACCTTTGGTTGACACATGGCCAGGCACGACAAGGCAGGCCCATCCTCGTTGTTTGACCATTGACAAGGGGCTGAAAGCCGCCCCCAGCCGACTTGGACTATGGCCAGAAAAGGTTGCCAGAGGCCTGCGTAGCTGCCTGGAGCAGAGGCTGAATCTGGGGTGCAGACGGCAGAACCAGACTCTTTCCATCTCTTTGCCTCCAGGCCTCACTTTGCTCCCTGTTCGTTCTCAAACAGCAGCGGGTTCCAAGGCTCAAGCTGTTGTGCTCAGAGCTCTCAGCCCAGAGGAATGTGATCACTTTTTACTGGCCTGTCCCTTCCACCCCCACCGCACCTTCCCATCACCTGCAGCCTCCCCTCTGACTTTTGGTCCCGCCAGCTGTGCTGCCACTCTGAGCACTGTCACCTTCCCCTTTGGGCCACCGTCCCCTGCCTAAGGTCCTTGTGGTGCCTGAGGTTGGCAGAGATCACTGGCCTCAAACTGGCATCGCAGGACATAGAGCCAGCATGGAGTCTGCATTGCTGTGAGTCAGGGCCTGGATCCGACCAAGCCTGCCTCCCCAAGGGTGGCCCAGGTGGGTGGGTGCCCACCCCAACCCCCTTTCCAGATCTACTGTGTCTCTACACTTCCCCTGTTCTGTAGCATACACTGGAGAGGTCTGCCTTTGGTTTTTTTTTCTTTGTCATTTTTGGTACCTGAAACTGAACTCAGGACCTAGGCGCTTGCCAGGCAGGTGCTGTGCCACTGAGCAATGTCCCTGGCCCTGTCGGCTTTTCTTGTAATTCCAGCGTGCAACCATTTGCAGCATGTGGCTACCATTATTCTTGTTTGTTTTGACACAGACTCCCAGCCTTTTTGTGGTTGAGTAATATTCCATGTGTGTGCCGAGGCCACATTTACTGGCGGCCATCTGCGATGTTTCTGCCTTCTGCCTGTTGGGCATACTCAGTGCTGCTTGCAAGGTTCGTACACGGGTTTGTTGGAGAAC